CAAAGGGTGGGGCTTGTCTCGTTCCAGGGGGGGGGGGGGATGTGGCTGTGATCGTTGCCTTGCCTCAGCTGTTCGGCTCTGCCCGCTGTTTGCATTAGCAGCCTGGGATTTAGTCGCCAGCTGTGGCCCTGGTCACTGCTAAACCTGGTGGCACAGACTGTCAGTCTTTTTTCAGTGCATTGCATTTTAAAGCCTGTGGCAGTGTACACATGCAGTCCTGAAGTCTTTTATTATTATTAAAAGAATCTATAAAATTCAGAGTCTTCAGACTCTTCAGAGTCCAGGATGATGATGATGTCATCAGATTGCTTGTGTCCAAAGTGCTCTGTTTACAATGATATAAAGCTGAGGACACTCTCATCACAGAGAGCGATCGTGCATAACTTTACAACATTATTTGATCTTAAAAGGTGCACACATGTTGCACCCACATGGAGGACGGGTTGCAGGATAAACACGTAGTTAACTGTCCAATCACATTTGTGCCTGCTGTGAGACTGTCCAGTCATTGTCTCTGCAGTTGTTTCTACCAAGAATGTACAACACTTAACTGGTTGTGCTTCGACGTATTTCTCCTGTTAACACTGAGGTGATGTGACGCAGCACACTCACACGCACGCATAGCAGCCTTCCTCTCCACAGAGGGAGCCGACATTTGTCCTGACCCGATGACTCGTTCAGCTATGAGTCTGATGCTGCTTCTGCATAAATACAGATGCAGCTCTCTTTGTGGTAAACACAAACACACACAGTCTCACGCTGACACAGATGTCGGTCAGAGCGGCCAACACGGAGCAGAGAGCGAAGACAGGCAGAAGGTGTGTGAGCTCTGCTGTTGGCATCTGTTTTAGACACATACACACACACAAGGGCCGAGTGCTCACCAAGTAATGATATACAGTAAAATCTCCTCAATACTGTGACTGTAGTTTACAGAACACGAGGAGTAGTGATGGGTTGATGAGCACGAAAATGAGGTGAATCATATGCTGTGGCAAGTCCTGCTTCTTATTATAGTGTTGCTGCAGCTGAATGCAAGAGATGTATCCCACTTTAGATGCTATGCACATTGAAAGCACCAGATAAAGCCCCAGTGAATGACATGGCTGAGCAGAGTGCGCAGGTGTGCTCAACTTGTAATGTTTACACTGATTATGAAGTTAGTGTAGTTAAGATCACCAGACTTAAGGCGGAATTCAATTCAGGTTACTTTATTTCACCAGGATAATTCACTCGGTGTCAGTGGGCCTTCCCACGGAGTCGTGACACATTAAAACAATAAGACAGTTGAAGCTCATCAGACAGTAGTAACAGTCTGCACAGGTTGTTGATGGACTGTACTCGTGTCCACACTTCAGTTTACTTGCATTTCATTTACTTTGTGATGGAAAGTGACGGTTGAGTGAATGAAAACGTGTCTGACTCAGTGTAACTAGTGACTTTGTGTGCAGGTTGCCTTAACCTTAACATAAAAGGTGTCCATCTCAGCTATGGCCTTTACATGAGAGGTTCCACACATGCAATATGAGCTTAATACACTGAAGTCATCATTATAACAGAGACTGCCTCCTACTTTATGGGAGCCAAAACTAAGAGGGCAGTGTTCTGCTGACCAGAACATACATGTTCAGAGATTGTGTCCCTGGGAGAAGCCGCTTTAGACAGTAAGTAAGTAAATAATACTGTGGCACTTGTACATACTTGTAATACAGTATTCAGTGGAAAGGAGTCTGTCATGGCTCCACTTCTGAACATTTGTCACATCGTTAAAAGTTCTTAGCCGTCATCAAAAGAATAAACATCGAGCCTGGAACCTACTCTGTTGCTTTTTTTGTTGCTTTAAGTAAGACAGTTATGGGAATCTCTCAAAGTAAGAATAAAAAACAACTAATGCTTTTAATATTTTTACTAATTGAACTGATTAGAAATGCAGCTGCATTGGTCAGTTAATTGATTAGATGATCAAAAAGAAATTACCTGCAACTTTTTTGACATTGCAGTCATTTTTCAGGCAACAGTATTGAACATTTGCTGGTTCAAGCTTCTCAAACATGAGAATCCATTGCTTTCCTTTCTTATATAAGATATTAAATAGGATATCTTTGGGTTTTGGACTGTGGGTTGGACAAATTAAGCAATCTGAAGCTCTGTGAGCTGCAGTGGTGAGCAGATAATGACAGTAATCATCGGTTGTAGCCAAATGGTAACAATTAACCCCAGTTACTATGATTCACCCTGAGGGAATGTTCTACCACAGTTCATGTAAATCTGTTTAATAATGTCACATTGGCTTGGCTACAGATGGAATAATCAGCACCTTCAGGTACTAGTAATGATGTATAAACATGATCATGGTATCAAACAGTATATTCAGGGTTATTATATGAACCATACACAAAGAACAGTGCACGTGGTGCTGCTGCATGCGTCCTGCGGTACCACAGTGAGCACTTCTGACCCTAGACAGAAACAAATGGCCCTCTCTGTTTACAGCTCCCTGCCTTCCGTCTCGTGTGTTTATCACGTGTCTGAGAGCTTTTATTTAAGAGAGAGAGATACAGCAGCTCTGCTGTGCACGGCCATTTATCACCCCTGACTCAGCCCTCCTCACCTGCTAGTGTCAACTGCTTTGTCTTGTGCACTACACACAACAACGCGCTCCCATAGAGGCACTGAGGCCCCGTGGAGGGGATGACAAGATACTTCAGCTAGTGTGTGTGTGTGTGTGTGTGTGTGTTGTGTCACATAGTTGGTGACTTAAATGTGATGAAGCAGATTATCAGTGCTTGCAGCTGCTCAGCTCGTACTAGGATGCTATTTTCTGCATCCTAAACTACACAGGGAGGGAAGCAGTTTAACCCTTTGAAGGATATGGGGAGGGTATTTGATAAGTGTGATTTGTATATAGACTGACCAGGACACACAATGTGTTAGTGATAAAGGAGATGCTGTAAATACGACAGCAAGCCAAGTGCAATGCTGTGAGCAGCGACGCGAAGGCAGATTCACAAGCGTCTGCTTGAGGATGAAGAAAGGCTGCTCTCCAGCACTTCAGGTTATGCAATGAGTGCGTGTGGGTGCAAGCTCCTTCGTTTCTTCCACGCGTGCCTGGATCTATAGAGTGAGGGTCAGAACTTGGCAGGTCTTGCTGCTAAGTAAGAAAAAAAAAAGAAAGCAATTACTAAGAATAATCACATTGCAGCAGGGAATGGATTCACTAGAAAGAAGTGTTATTGGTTGTGTGTGTGTGTGTGTGTGTGAGACTCAGCTCAGCTTAGCTCTGGCATCCCCCTTGGCGAGTAGCATTTAGAATTACTTAAGCCTTCACTGCAGATAATTAGCATTTTCAGTGACTGTCACACTGCAGATCGGAGCTTCAGCTTCAGCAGCTTGTTGTCTAACACTGACCTTGAACCAACAAATCACAAACACTCTCTCTTCTTACATCCCATAACAGTGCATGTGCATGTTGTACTGTACTTCCTGTGTGTTTCTGGGCAAGAGGCTGGGTCTGCCCTGGACAGGTTGCCAGTCTATCACAGGGCTGACATGTAGATACAACCACACACACACTCACTCCTACAGGTGATTTAGAGTCACCAGTCAACCTAAGCTCCATGTCTTTAATTTATTCTAAAACAATATAATTTATTTTCATTCTAATAGCTAATCATAATATGCATTTTCTGGAGAAACTGCAGCATCCACAGTAGTAGATTGCTCCAAGATTTTCAGTATCCACAGTCACATATTCGGCAACATTTCACACTGATGCTAGTGTTTTAAAGCATTTTACCAGAGAAAAGTTATTTGAATGTATATTTTTCCAAAAGCATCAAATTTTAGAATAAAACAAGAGAAAGAAATAAAATTATTATTCACCAATTAAAAAAGGCTGCCCTCTCTTGTTTCTGCAGTGACGCCAGCTGTTAGCTCCTGCCTGAACGTCTGTTCCCTAGGTTTTTCCTCCCGATCCGTCCCCTGAAACACTCCCCACCATGAGTTCCTCGCCATTGGTGTCCCGAGCCAACATGGACATCCTGGACGAGCTGCAGCTGATCGCAGCCCAGAACCTGGAGAGGCTGGAGGTCAACAAGTACTACGAGGTGATCAGGGAGCTGGGCAAGGGCACCTATGGCAAGGTGGACCTGGTCATCCACAAGATCAGAGGTGAGGGGAGACACACTCATACAAACAGCAGTAACATGCTGCTGTCATAGACAAGGGGCAGAAACAATGTAACTCTTCCATATATCTCTTTCATTTCCCACCAAAAGGTACAAAAATGGCCTTGAAGTTCCTGAAGAAGAAGACGACCAAGCTGAAGTCGTTCCTGCGGGAGTACAGCATCTCCCTCTATCTGTCTCCGTGCCCTTTCATCATCAACATGTTTGGCATAGCCTTCGAAACGGACGAATACTATGTGTTTGCACAGGAGTATGCTCTGGCAGGAGACCTCTTTGATATCATTCCCCCACAGGTTCTCCAGCTCACCCATTGCTATCATTATTGCTTCCTTGCATCATTAATTTTAGGTTTTTTGCAAAACAAAATGCATCTCGGCAAGTCCTTAGAAGTTAATACACATTTAAGTGTAAGTTAGATCAGTAAGAAACTCAGTCAATGGAGTTGTTTGTGCTCTTAAAAAAGTAAGTTCCTGTCTGTAAAACCTGTTTCCTGGAGTCCTCACAAGAAAAAACACACAAGTGAAGGAAACATGCACTGAAAGAAAGGACTCACCAGGTCTTTGGATTTACACAAATTATACTAGTATATGCAACGCAGTTCATTCATATTTCCTCTGTTAACATAATTCAAACAAGTTAACCCCTAAAGAAAATTATGTTGGTTTTACACATTATCATTGTGTAGGACCGATGTACACATTACAATCAAGTAAATCCAACAAATCTTTTTTTCAGTGTGGATGCAAGTATGGGAATTGGGATTTACCCCAAGTACTGTGTTGTACCTGTGTGTCCTCATGTTTCTGAAAATATACTGTATCTTGAAATTAAAACTAAACGGGGATGCGCTCTTTAAAACACACAGCTCCACAGCGCCTCTAGTGGTGAAAAGATTCACACAAAACCTTAACTGCGTTTTGTTGAAATGAAATACTGGACAGAATGACATGAATTTGCAGCTAAACCATCAGGCCAAGTGATGCATGCACATTTGTTGTTTGTAAGGTTGTTATTCTGTGTTCCACTCAGACCTCCCTCTGTCTTCCAGGTTGGTCTTCCAGAAGCAGTGGCAAAGCGCTGTGTGCACCAAGTAGCCATTGCTCTGGACTACCTGCACTGTAAGAAGCTGGTCCACCGGGACATCAAGCCCGAAAACATCCTCATTTTTGACCGAGAGTGCCGCAAGGTCAAACTGTCTGACTTCGGCATGACCCGCCGGGCTGGCTCACCTGTGAAAAGAGTGAGTAGGAATAGTTTGTGACATCTTGGTATCTAGTGTGTTGTTGCAGGTACTGTGCTAACCTGTTCAGTTTACCTTGCAGGTGAGTGGCACCATCCCCTACACAGCCCCGGAGCTCTGCGACGTGTCCCGCCATGAGGGCTTCTGTGTGGACTACAGCACTGATGTCTGGGCCTTTGGCGTGCTGCTCTTCTGCATGCTGACCGGCAACTTCCCCTGGGAGAAAGCGCTGCCTTCCGATTCCTTTTACCAGGAGTTTATCCGCTGGCAGAGGAGGAGGACGAACATAGTGCCGTCCCAGTGGAGGCGCTTCACCGAGCAGGCCCTCCGCATGTTCCGCCGGCTGCTCTCTGTGGAGCAGGACTGCCGCTGCTCTGTGAAAGAGGTGTTCGGGTACTTCAGCCATTCCTGGATGCTGGACGCGGAGAACAACAACAATGGCAACAGCAACACGGGAGGCGCAGGTGGTGGAGAGAGGGTTGGCGGCGGTGGAGGAGGTGGAGGAGGAGGGGGGGGAGGAGAAGGGGGTGTGCGGGGAGAGGTGGACGGCACTATCTCTTCATCTTCATCTGGGGAAGAAGATGAGGAGTTCCTGGTGGAGAGGATGAAGCAGCAGACTTTATCTCCTCTCTCCCCATTGTCACCCCTCTCTCCCATGTCTCCAGTGACGGTGGAGAGGGGTAGTGGGGGCGGGGCCAAGGGTGGCACGATGGACGCCAGTGGCCACCATTTTGTGTCCGTCTCCACCAACAGCTCTGTGTCATCCACCAACAGTTACGATCGAATGCCGCGAGAAAACAGCTCGCCGGGCGGCCGCATGCTGGTGGCTACACCCATTGAAATCTGCGTCTGAGCATGTTGGAACGTTTCTGTCGTCCCAGACTCACTGGTACACACTTTTATACCTCTCGTTCTACCACATAGATATGCATGCATGGAAAAAGAAACAATGAGTACTAACACATATCCTATTTTAAACATCTTGGGAATGGAAGAGCACACGCACAGAAAGTATTTGTAGAACGTGTCCATTGCTCATAATGTAGGGTTTTTGGCCAAATCTTCTCCAAAGACTCCAAAAGAAGCCCTATTTACACTTTGACTTCAGTGATGTGTGCAAATACAACTTCATAGTACCCAGAGGTAAAACAAAAAGTCGCTTCCATTAGAGATTCTGTCACTAAAACCATTCGAATAGGAGACCAAAATGTATTTCTTAAAGCAATACTTCCAGCAAAAACAGAGCCAGAAGGAGGCAGGATGCCGCGTGATCTCTTCAAGTCGTCAGTTTTGACAAAGCCAAGGGACAAAGGATTTGTATTTTTGAAGAAGACTGAAACAGAATTCAAGGAAATACCTTGAAAAAAGGAACAAGTGAGCGGTGGTTTTAAATATTTCATGTGCAACAAAATGCGAAAGTGTGAGCGTGGGTGTCTGTATGCATGTGTCTGTAAGAAGTGGATTTATTATTTATTTAATTATTTATTTGAATCTAAAAAGACTATTTTTTCTATTGTTTTTTGTAAAGTAGCTTATTGTATTTTCTGTTCGACTTCATTTGCTGTTCTGACATAGCTGGCTGCTCTACATGGTGGTGTCCTTAGACACACACTATGTATAAGCTTTGACCAGTGGCTTTCAGATAAACCAGTACACCCATCACAGTGACAAGATAAAGAGAAGGGTTATGATATCGCTGTTGTTCATGACAAACTTATCTGCTTCACTGTTCAAAGGCTATTTTGTACCCACTCCTGAAATTCTGTTTCTATTGCTTCTTTTTCTTTGAAACTTTTTCCCCAAAAATTCAGTTTGTACAACTTAGGTTCTTTAAAACCTTTAGCGAACAGTTCAGTTTGAGCTGTTTGTTTTCTTTGAAACGTTTAGCAAAAAGTGTTGTCTGGAAAAAATAAGAAAAATAAGAAAAATGATCACTTAGCATTTTCAATTCAATCTGAAGGAAAAAAAAGATGAAATAGTCGCTTTTTATAAATTGCATGACAAGTAGCTCAGACGTACCTTTATGAAAAATTTGAACCGGCTTTACAGGAAAAAAACACAAAAAACAAATCGTACAATGTCGTGATGTGGAATTTTTGCCGTAGCACAATTTCTTGCATTATGTCCCAGAGTGAATATTGCTGTTATGATCTCTTGAGACATCCTAGGGCTAAAAAAGAAATCTGAAAAAAGAATTAATTTCTATTTAGTGTGTCGTATTTGTATTGCTATTACTGTCGTGTTTTCATCTCACCGTCTTCAGGAACAGAAAAAAAGCAAAGCATGAGGACACAGAGGGCATTTCAATTTTAGAAGAGAGTTAAATAACAGCAAAAAAAGGATTCATTTCTTTGAGTCACCATGAATACTAGGTAAATGCTTTGAAGGGGCTACAAAGCATTGGATCCTGCAATGAGCATTTTATGAGCTGCTTTCCAAACACAAATGTGCATGAACTTGTATGTGCTTAAGCTCTATTGTGAAACCCTGCTCAGTGTTTCTCCTGTCACAAGCTGCAGTACGCTGTAGATGTAGTAAAGCTGCGAACGACATGTTTCTTTATCATGTGAGAGTCTGTAGCCTCGGCTGGGTGAAGATTAGCTAGCTCTCACATCAGCTGTTTGGCTCATCTTCCTAGCTGAAGATTTGCTAGCTCTCACATCAGCTGTTTGGCTCATGCTCTTCAGTGCTACTCACGAATCAGCCAGCGAGTATGCAAATGACTACATGTTGTGACAATCTCTGACCTCATCGACAGCCTTCGGACTCAGAGCAAAGGACAGTCCTTATACTGATCACTGTAGCTGTGCAGTTTACTTTGGCTGGCTGCTTTTTGTCAACCAGCTGCAAGCAGCGCTGGCTCTGCTGCGTTCACTGTGTGAGCTCCAGTACATCAGATTCGACTGGGGAGGCCTTTCACATGACTGTATTATGAAGAGATGTTCATGCCTATATATGACCTAATCATGTCACCGACCCTAAAAGCAGCCTTCTACTTCTCCTCAGCACCTCCCAGATGTGTCTATAGTGTATCAGTCATCCATCCCAATGAGCCATTTAGTCTCTTTTTAAATCAAGTGAGAAATGTTGTAAATCTAGCAGTGGCACACCCAAGAGGTGGCCAGTGGTGGCCTGTCCCTTTCTAAATAAATAGATATGCAACATGTAATTTGTTCAAATTGGAATGTAACGTAATAATCACTTTATTTGGCCAAGTACAGTATGTTACACACACGGAATTTGTTGCAGGTACAGAACCGAGGCAGCCACCCATGGCGCGAACTCAAACTTGAGGTTCAGTGTCTTGCCCAAGGATACTTCGACATGTGGACTGAAGGCACCACGACTCAAACCTCCAACCTTCCAGATGGGAGACGACCACTCTACCCACTGAACCACAGTTGCCCCTAACCTAATTATAAGCTATACTGCAGAATTGACTTTCTGTAGCATTAGCTGTGTTAATGCTAACACGGACATTTGCATTTTAAAGGCAGTAATTAGCTTTACCTTTAGCTATGACTTTACCACACATTACTTCTCATGTAGTAATCAGAGTGACATTCTATACCCAGTTTTTAGTTTTTTCATACACTGTGCAGTATCTGCTGTTTGTTTTCATGTAAACAAACACCATTTTATGTTAGTGCATTGCTAAATTTCTTGGTGCACTACTGCTACTAGTTGTCAGCAGAACAGCATAAAACCATATGGCATATGGTCCTACATATGTCTACATCATGGCTACTTCCTTATAATGTAGTGTCTGATGAATGGATACGCTGTGGTCACACAGTTTCTGTACCCCCTCGTGCAGACACGTTTCCTTGCTTAGGCAGTGGTACATATCGATCCTATGGCTTAATACACAGTTTGAAACCATCCACTCGAGCCCTGTTTTAAAACACGTCTTGGTGATCCAAACACAAATGCACAGCCAAAACACATCACGGTTCACATCTGTCTATAGAATTAGTAAAGTCATACAAAATTCTGCTGTTCTGCTAATGTTATGGGAATGAAAGTCACAAACTTCCTCTGTTTATTAAACCAAATTATACCAAGATTTTCTGTATAATCTTGGTATAATTTTATCCACCTAACTTTTTTTCTTGTTATGCACCAATAATTCACTGGTTGCACATTAGGAGATTTAAGGTCATGTCAGAATGGATGGTATGCATATCTAAACATGACTCGCCCTTCTAAGGATCAGGTCCAGACCTCAGGCCACCTGACCTGGGAGCAAGGATGGGTCACACCAAACTAGAATATAAGGGACACACACCTTTTTGCTGCGAGCTACCTTCCCCTCTTCCCAGCGCCTGATGCAGTCACCGCTGCCTCCTCAGTCCATCCATAACGTAACGTGCTGTAATGGAGTTCCATTGTCTTTCTGTCAGTGGCATATTTCAAAGCATCATGATTTTAGTGGTTATAGCGAGTAGACGACCACAGCACTAGAACTCGTATCCGGTTCCGTCTTTGCAATACAACTGTCTTCCTGTTAGCTGAGATTTAGTCAATAAAATGAAAATTCTTGTTGGATTTTTGGTGTTGTGTTTTTTTTTTTTTCTTTTCTTTTCTTTTTGTTTTAACCAGGAGTCCTCTGTGATGAATTATAAAAGTAAACTTGTCACATCCCAGGACATAAAGAATGATTATGTAGTGGAATGTTTGCATCAGAACTTTATAAAAATCTGGACAGTAAATTTGATATTAACAAAACAGTAAAAGAAAACTGAAATTATTAAATGGATTATAAGCATTATAAAATGTGAGACAAAAACATAAACAAACCAATTAACTGTAAAATTATTAAAAACTCATTACCATGAAAATGCCAGTTGGACACTGTCACTTATGGAGCTGATATGCGAACACGTTAGCAAACCCTTACCTGTTTATGCATCAAGAACATGGACCAACAACATTATAAGTCATTTGAAGATTCTGACCACCTAATGAATCCAAATCAAACGTTCACCCGCCATTTAACTCTATTTGGGTGCATTCAACCATTTGATACTGGGCAAATAGAGGACAGTGAGTTTATTCATGCATTTTGTTCCTGCTGGGAATGATGCTGATAAGAGCTGTGACAGTGAACCAAACAGTGGGCTGTAAAATCAAAACATTGAGCTGAAAGGTGCTAAACTGCTCTGCAGAACTGATGGGGGCTGCAGCAGTGGAAAAGAAGTCGATGCTCCAGATACAGGGTCCTGCCACAATATCGTGGTTTACTGGGCCAATTAATACAACAGAGTCAGTTCGGAAACAATGGACGGATTATGAAACACTGGGCTTTATGGGCACAGACATGTAAAAGGCCCCCACCAATCATACATAGGATTGTTTTTCATTTCTTTTTTTCCTACGCCAAGGAGGTTCTATTTTTGGTTCCGTATGGGTTGGTTAGCAGGATTATGGACTAATGCCTGGATGGATCATCAGCATACTTGGTACAGACACTGGTGGGGGTCTCCATCAAGCTCTCAAAATCATCTTTTGTTTGAAATTGGACACACATATGTAGGGTGACAATGTCACCAGACCAGATTTCATCCAGATCTGATGACCATTTAAAAGTTAACATTGAAAACCCCTTTTAATACATTTTTCTGCCATGAACCATGAAATGTTCAGGTAAGATGCAGAGCATAGGGTTTTTGTACTATGGCGAGTCAAAACATCTGCTGTGAAAAAGGCCTATTCTCATGGCAGTTGTAATTACAAGCACTCATTTCACATTGCACATGGTTATTTGATCTATTGTTGCTACAAATACATTGACTAGTGCAAATTACAACAGTAAGAATGTTTCCATATTTCATTAACATTTACCTGGTTCATATATCTTTTCATAATTTCCTCAAACAAAAACTTTTTCCACCTGTGACTGAAGAACACAAATCTCTTCCAGAAAACCAAACGTTGAACAAAATATTTATTTTTGACAATAACTTTACCTCTGATGTTACAAGAGGAGTGAGATGGTACAAAAAGTTGCTATTTAATGAAGACAATGAAATAGGGTGATGAGTTGGCAGTAAACCTAAAAACACCACAGCACTGACAGACCGGTGGAATTGGAATGTGACAGGTAGTGTGTACCTAAACAGAAAGGTTTGCATTTGAACACATCCTGCTACGTGTCATTGCTCCAGTCAGTGTGGGGTTAACACAGAAAACAGAAAGGAGAGAGAGAGAGAGAAACAAAATCATAAAATACAACTTGGATCATTAGAATTCTGAGTTCCAGCCCTGAGATCAACATGCAGACAAAATATGCTTAAAAATCCAAATATTTTGCAAGAATAAAACATACACCAAAAGCTGTATTTGTTAGAATGTAAACCAATGTTTTTAATTTTAACAAACAGCTGTGAAAATGTCAGGCATGCTGATATACCTGCTCTTTAAAAACTGTTCATTTCACTGCGTGAAATTATAAAATACAGAAAACAACAATGGCACAAATGAAAGCTTTCCAGGATAAGGAGATTTGGGTGTGTGTGGTGTGTCCTGCTGCTGCTGGTGAGAGAATAAGCAGATGAAGCCTTCCTCTGTGTGGATATCCATACACATCCAGCTGTGGCTCTCACACGCTCGTCTCAAGACAACCCAACGCTGCCCCTAATGCTGCTATGGCCACATTACAGTCCACCAAGACCAATCACACAGAACATAGTCAGGCTGACAGGCTGCAGACCAGGCCTACACACCTCATTCAACAGGTACTAATACACTGGGAACTAATCTCAAGTCCCAGGGGGTTGGTGTGTACCTGCGTGGTCAGGGGGGTTCACTGGAACTGGCTTGCCATGCTCCAGGTATCAACAACTACATCTGCAGCAGAAAAGTGCATGCAAGCTGCCTTCAGTCCTCAGGATGTTCAAAGGAACATGATGTACATTCACTGACTTGTCTTTGAAACTAGAGAGAACAGGAACACTACCTCTTGTGTTCCAGATAAGGCTTTTCAGAAAGGTTCTGTTGGAAATGCACTACTTAATAAATAAATAAAACTGCAGTAGATCAGATCAGAATGTTAATTCTAGCATGGCCCACTGAAATTAACACTGATGTAAACCAAAGATTCTCAGCATCAGTACAGAGACATGTCCTGCAAACATACAACCTTCTTAAAGCCAAGTGGTTCTGTAAGTGCAAAACAGGCAAGTTGAGATGATGAAACTCTAGCAGAGAAGAAATCTAAGTAAACAGATGATGAGTTACACTGAAATGAGACAACTAAACCTGCTTGAACTCATCATCCCTTAACAGGGCACACAGCTAACCATACTGAGATTCCATTAAGATGCAGAAGACTGTGCGGACGAACACAACATGGGCACATTTGAATTCTGGCAGTCCAAAGTGCATTAAGCCAAATAAAATCACATGGCCTCATCCTGATCGTCACATGTAGCTCTTAGCAAGTTCCCAGGGTGAACTGTGAAACTGAGGAGAGCAGACGACGAGACATGTTCAGTGCCACTCCAAAGTTCTTCCTGCAAAAACCCCTCACAGGGAGGGAAATACACTCAAACACACACTGTTCAGTTCTTCAGTAAAATCAATTGTTATACAATTGCCATGTGGTTGAATTAGAAACTTTTGCATGGGTGTGTGTGAAACAAAATGTAAAGCCATGTGTGATCCATGTTATGTTTACTATGCAGCGTCCACTCAGGTACCTTGTTCAGTAAGTTCATTTCCTAACCTTCCAGCCCTTTTTCTGTCCCATTATTAACACCAGCTCCTCCACTGGCTTGGTGTTTAGACATTAAACTGCTTTATCAATAACTTAAACACACAATCAAACCTCTCTGAAAACTATGTCAAAAGCCAAAAAGAAAACTCCAGGAATAAATAAACCAAATATAATCAATAATGACAAATTCTTTATAAAATTAAATATATTTGATTGTTATTCATATTTACTCCAGAAACAAAAATCCATATAAATAACTAGACAAATGGCAAATTCAGCATGTTACTTGACGTGAGAGCAGGGTCTGAGTACCATCACACTGGACTGACTGCACTCCTCCAGTCACAGTGCTTGGGGGAAGGGTCAACAGTGCAGAGAGTGAAAGTTAAGGTTTATGGGTGCTAGCTGTCAGTCAGAAAAACCTTGGTCCACTGTAGCCATGGTTACCAGCAAAAGGAGAAGGAGAGACCCTGCAGGATGTTGCGGGTGAAAGTCTAGAAGAGAAAAAACACAATTCAAACCGATAACTGAACTTTGAGCTTTTTGTTTTGGAGAACAGAAAAACTGATTGAAAGACCAAACAATGGACAATGCTACATACAATCTGTGTGTGTAATGACCAGCTATCAACTGTAGTCACGCCAGAATAAACCCTACTTCTATGACTAGTTTCTTCAATTTCATTTCCAGTATGTATTGCTGAAAACTACTAACTAGTATCCCCATTTTCTTACACTTGGTTTGCTCATGTTAACAAAAGTCACCGGCCACCTGCTGTAGCCGCTGAAACGCATGGGAGTAATGGCTCTATGTTAATAAAAGACCTGGAGCAGCTGGCAAAAGAAGAGAGTAGAGGAGTAAGAAACTCAGTGATGGTTACAGGAAGTGAATGATTTCAGTTAGTTTGTCCAAAGGGTGTGCTACCAAATATTAAGCTGAGGGTGCCTTTTTTGGAGTTCTGTGTAATGTATCAGATTTAGGTTTTTATACCAAAACAAATTGTGACTGTAAAAGTTTTCTGTGATATGTGGTGCGTTATCTAACAGAAATGCAGGGTGCCGAAAATTTTGGCCATGACTAAGTCCAATCAACGTGACACATCCTTGTCTCTCCACTAAGACCCTGTCCTCGTTGTTGCTCTCCCCTATGTTTACTTTTACCAGTCTGTGAGGTGCCAACGGTGAATGATGGCAGGCAATATGGGCATGTGCAGAGGGGTGAGACATCGGAAAATAACCCACATGAATTCTGAGAGCGGTCGCACAGATAAATATCAGAAATGAATCTGTTCTCATACAGAAGTGACTCAGATCTGATTTGAAAAAACCCAACTTGGGTTGTTCGCATATCTATGAAATGTGAACACAGCTTTGGAGACTGATGAGTCATGACATCAAAGTATTCACTAACCTCATGAGGTTTCTGCCAACTTTGTCACCTGTCATCCCATCTGTTACCAGGAGGGGCTTTGAATGTCTTGTTCTGACAAAGCATGAAGAATCCCAAGGTTAAAATGTACACACAGCTTCACAGGACATCTTTCAAAGATCTGGCATCTAGGTCTTCTATAATTGTCTATAGTATCAAAAGAACATGTACATTTTCACTGGAACATTTTAAAGTGCAGTTATTTTTTGCTCACCTTGTGCTTTTTACACTTCATGGAGAAGTTTTCTTCAATGAGGACACAGTCTGCTAGAACAAGAGCAGAACAGGAGTTGAAGAAGCCGCAGTGACTCATTCTAAAGGTTCGGCCACCCACACGTGCAAGTTCAGGCTTAGAGGAAATAATACCAACCAACGACACTTCACAAAAGAGCTATTTCCAGGCCAGTGTACGCGCACACACACATGAACTCAGACACATACACACAAAGCGCAAATCGTGGGTGCATTCATCTTCATATATCAACAGGGACAACATTAATTTGAGACATCAGTTCAAGGAAAAATTCCAAGCATACCAAAGAGAAGAACCCTTAAAAATACATGCAGATGTGTCAGGTTTAAAGTCAGTTCACCCAAACAGCAATGTTTGTTTAGTTTGTCCAGGTTTTGAGGTACTTGTCTCTGCAAATCTCAGGCACATCCATCTCTGAACATGAACATTTAAACTTGGGAGAACTGACCGCTTAAGATTCAAAGCTGTAAAAAAAGCCTTATACACACTGTATCTGCAAACATGCACAAAGGCTTGGACAGGACATGTGTGTACTTTGTTCTTGTGTGCGGGGTGGAGGTGAAGGGCGGACACCAGGACGTACCTGACTCCAAAGCACACCTGTAGTGGTACTTGTTGGGACAGCTTTTGAAGAAGCAGCCCAGTGTAGCGCCTGGATCATGGCATGCTGAACACATCTAAAACCACAGCAGACAGAAGACATCATGTAGCTCAACACCTATGACTTGCACTGTTACACTCTAAAAAAATATTAGAAAGAAGATGGCTATTTGGATGATTTCATTTAATATTTAAACTAAAATACTGGTTGCAGTGGTTTGAAAAGCAGTATACCAGGGAAGCTCATTCAAGAGCTTTCCTGAAATCAATTTTAAACCTATAGGTTGTATTTAACAGCAATTTGAGCCTTTCTAGTCTTAGGTTTGGTCATTAAATTTCTGATGGTTCAAGAACAGCTCATCAGTACCTCAAGGCTCTCATTTAACAATACGGCATAAAAAGACAGGAGAATGGAACACTGGTCACAAAGCTGACTGCAAACTGAGGGTATTTCTGACATGCCCAGCGGGGACCTAAGTAACAGAAAACATGAGTCTCCTGCAGCCCCTGTCATTATTACTCACACATCATCCCTTTGGGATCATGAATGTGGCAAATGTTCTGACATTTTAATATGCTAGACCAGCAGGGATTTGGTGTGGACATCTCAGACAGAAGGTGTGGCCTGCCTACTCACACTGTCCACTTGTTGGGTTAGTTTTGAAATAGCTGATAAAATGGTTAACTGATTGACAGAAAGTCAATATCCAACTATTCAAGCCATTTTTTGTCAACAACTGACAATTTTAGCTTCTCAAACATGAACATGTATTTATTTTATTTGGCTCGATGCAGCCAGGGGGATGCAAGGCAGAAGATGAGTTTACTTCCAGAGCTTTCAACCACATCTCAGTCTTCTCTCAGTTGACTGACTTTGCTCAGTTAGTATCAGTTGAGCTCAGAATAGAACATCCACCATGTGGCTCCAGAAGGTATTCAGTGTCTGTCATTTTGCACACTTTTTGCTGTAGACTTAAGTTTAAATGGATAAAATCAATCTACAATGAATAACCCATAATGATGAAGTGAAAGCATGAGCTTAGAAATTATCCTGGACTTTGGCTGGGCCTCTCAGGAACAGTCAGAGACTGGTCCTGAAGCCACCCCATTGTTGTTTTGGCTGTTTGCTTCAGGCCATTATCCTGCTGGAAGGTGAACTGCCGCCCCAGTATCAGGTCTCTGCACTCTGGAGCGGGTTTTCTTCAGGAACCTCTCTGTATGTGGTTGCATTCATCCTTCCCTCTGTTCTAACCAGTCTCCCTGTCCCTGCTGCTGAGAAGCCCCCATAGCATGATGCTGGCACCACCGTGCTTCACTGTAGGGATGGTACTAGCAAGTGATGAGCAGTGGGTGGTGCAGTGAGGCCACCATGCTCCTGGAACTCAGAGCTTTAGAAATGTTTTACATCTTTGTCCTGATCCGTGCCTCAGCACAGTTTTATCTCAGAGAGTTCCTTTGACTTAATGACTTGGGTTTTTGTCCTGGTATGCAGTGTGAATTGTGGAACCTTATATACACAAGTGTGTGCCTCTCTAACCTATGTCCAGACAATTCAAATTGCCACAAGTGGCCTCCAGTCCTGTTGTAGATGCATCTCAGAAAGAACTTAAGCAAACAGGTAGCACCTGATGCACAACAAAGGCTCTGAATACTTCTGTAAAAGAGATTTCAGGATTTTACTTTTAATAAATGTGTATTTAAATCAAATTTTCACTTCGTGATTGTGTTAGAGTGCCCATTGGTGGGCAAAAATCGAAATTTCATCCATTCAAAATTAAATCTACAGTACAACAGTGTGAGTGAAAAGGAAACCACTATACACACATTCACAACCCTAGGTTCCACATTTAGATCGTCAGCTGGCCTATCTTCATGACATCATAGCTGATGAAGGCTGAAATGTAGTTGAACGTAATGGGGTAAAAAGGGAATAAGGGCACATTCAGTTAATATTCTTATGTTACTGGTTTCCAAGGTGAAGAATGAAGATCACCCCCTAAAAAGAAAGAGACAGACCTGAAAGTGTTTACAATAATTAAACCAGCAGTATGGACGTGTCATTATAATTACCTCAATGTTAACTACCTTCACCAATAATTTCCAGTCTTTTTCCAAGTGACAATTGTCAATTATTGCCTTGGTCACCCTTGGATTTGGCAACACATCTGAAACCTATTAGTATCCTAGAGGCAAATGAAACAACTAAGTAAACAGGCTATTAAAGCCTTCTCATTCCTTAATGCTTTCTTCATTTGCTTTGTTAGAACTAACCACAGAGCCATGTGATATTATATAACGATTCATTCACATTACAGGCTTAAAGTGCATCGTTACCGTCTCCTGGGCCACCTTGACAGCCTCCTCCAGTCCGTAGACTTTGCCCTTCACCAGGAAAACTCCTGCAGACCAGATGCCGCAGTCTTCATGGAGCCAGTACTCACAGGGATCCAGAGGCAGCCTGGGGGGGCTGTACCAGTCCGCCACATCTGTAAAGCTGGTGTTTAACCGAGCCCGCTTAGCTGCAGGGCTGCCCATACTGTCACTGCTCCACAGGTGGCTCTTGATGAAGCCCTTCTGCTTGAGCTGAGCTCTTGGCCTGGGAGGCCACTGTGTGAGTGGAATGGCACACTTTCTCCCCCTGCCTCTAATACTGTAGGACGACGAGTCAGAGTCGCTGTAGTCCTCCTCATCCTCCTTGAGGCCGGATATGCTGGCTGGTGTTTTGGTGCTTGGCTGGTACCCCTCAGGGTAGTAGGGGCCATGGAGATCCCCCAAATCCATGGCATTGGCCCCCTGCCCACAGAGGCAGCAGACAAGAAAGAGTTGGTGCTGGCTGTGCATGGATGCTCGGCCCAGCTGGAGACAAGACGTGTTGGGTACAATTGCAGAAATAAAGCCACTGGGGTGAGCCTGCAGCTGCTGACCCTTCTTGTGTTGTGTCCTTACCTCTTCAGGGTAGTTGACTACAGTACACCGTGATGGAAATGACTTCTGATGCTCCACATGGATGAATGGAGAAAAACTGTCCAACCTCAAGTCCCTTTTCTCCTCCTTATAGTTGACGTATTTCAGTTTGATCTCTGGCTCTTTGGGGGAAAACATGGAGGACAACTGGCTGCATTTGCGTTTCTTTTGTCTCCTCTTGCGAGTGCAGGCTGCTGCCTTCTTGGCAGTGGGATGTGTTTTGATGCATTTTGCTTTTCCTGGACTTTTCTTTGGAGATTTTGATGGTGGTGACGAAATTTTTGCCACATGAATTTCCACAGAAAGATCGGGGTGAGACAAAAGCTCTGGCTCCTTCTTCAAGTTCTTGCGCACAGAAAGAGGACTCGATATTAATGAGGATATCCTCTTCGACTTTGTGGGGCTGGTGTGTGGTGAAAGATCTTGTGGCTTTTTCTTTGAACTCTTGGGCACAGCTAACTGAGGACTTTTTGGAAGTGTGCTGTTATGCGACTTTTCAGAATTACTAAGGATTTCAGAATCAGAGGTAGACTCTTTACAAATATCAATGTTAAGATTACTAGCTTTACCCTTTCTTATTTGAGTTAATGCTTTTTGTTTGGCTGTTTGCACTGAGGATGAAGCTTTCACTTTACCTTTGCTTTTCACAACTGACAAAGTGTCATTCCTCTTAGGACCTGCTAACTTAAAATCACTAGCTGTGGACTGGGAAGTACTGATTTTCTGATTAGCACGTATGCATCCTGACACTTTATACCTGCTTGAATTGATGTCCATGACTACAGTCTCTAACCGTGTCCCCATACCAGAAAGCATTGGCAGTTTTTTTTCTTTTAAAGTTCTCTGTAGTGCCTTTGTACTCCCGTTCATGTGGGGAGTGACAGTCTTAGGTTTGATTTCTGAAACATCTGAGACACAAACATCTGTCAAGTCAATCAAAGGCTCTATCACTGCCTTCCATCTGTGGACTGGCTGCTTATTTTCATTGCTTGAATCCAACCCTCTGGCACTATCACTGATGCCAAAGCCTGGCTGAATGTCCTCCTCTGTACTCAAGCCACCCCACACAACATCCTCAGTCGTCTCTAAGAAAGAGTTGTTGCCACTGGGTGAGCTGGAGGCCTGTGGCAAAATGAACACATCCTCTACATCGTTCAATGAGGCAGCGGATGGGGAGACAGGGTCCTCTAGAGGGCTTCTATACTCCCTGCTCACTGAATACAGATCTCTAGCTCCCACATTGTCCGGGATCACCACTGAGTCTTGTTTCTTAGATAGGACAAAGAGCACCTCACAGCCCCCCCTCTCCTCATCCTCCCCTGTGACATGGGTGAGAGTCTCTGGTGAGGATTCTGCACATACTCCTGAACTCGACAAGCTATCACCTTGACCGTTCTCCATACTGCTACTATTGACCCGAGAAAGACTGTATTCCTGCTCCTCTTTGCCTTGTACATGTGTATCCATGTCCCCATCACTGGAAATGACTTCTCCATTAACCTCGTGATGCTCTTGCATGAGACATACCGCCCCAGTGTGATCCGGTCGCACTGGAGTGTGAGACAATGACTGCAAAAGATCTGCCTGAGTGGCAAGGTTCACAGGGCCCTCAACCTGCTCCAAATAATGCTGGTTCAGTGTATAGCCAGTCTCCCCAAGCCCTTTATCTGAGTCACAAGGAGGGTGGAGGGCAAACTTGCCAATAGGAGGCATATTGTAGAGAGACGAAAGTCGAGACGCTGAGTCGTGAGTGGGGAATACGTGAGACCTGCTCACATAGGAAAGGGTGACTGTAGTGTGGGAGAAGGCATTATCTGGTTGAATTTGATCCCCTGATTGAAGTGTCATGTCAGAGGAGTTGGTCTCTGAGAAAGGTAAACCTGGATTGCTGGTCCCAGAGTTTGGATACCAGCTGGGACTCCTGACCATCCGCAGAGCATCTAAAGATGTGGGGTTGAGGATGCATTCCTCACCCGTCCTGGTTAGGTCAATCACAGTGGGGACGCTGGATGTGGAGAGGTCTTGAGGCTGTAGATCATCTCTGCTCCCAGGTGGCTGCTCCATAACTGGAGAGGAGAAATGAAACTAGTCTGAGTTACTGATGTAGGCTGTGTTATGGAAGGAAACTAGAGTAAATCAATTTCTGAAATAACTTTTGTTTTTCTCAGTCAACAACTAATAACCACAGCAGATTCACTCAGCACAAATGTGCTTTATGGGGCCTACAAGTCCAAAGACCAGTAAGCTGCATCACTTTGTTGGTGTCTCAATCAGCTTATGTTTTTAAAGGTGTCGAGCATAAAGTTAAACAAGCCATTTCAGCTAAATCATAACGTTGACATTAGCTAGGAAACTCGAATTTCATTAAGGCTGGAGAACACACCAGGGGTTAAATGCCTTTTGGTTCATCTCCAATTTACCATATTTTTTGAATGTTTACAGTTATAAGGTCAAATTTTCAGGTTCGGTGGATAATGTCTTTCCAAGCGACCAGCTGCCTTTATGTCACCAACGATGACAGCTCAAGGTTGCTAACGACAGTTAGCACAGCTAAGCTAAAGTAAGCTAGGTAGGCCCGGTGTTGTCCGGCTTAGCTCCGGTAGTTTTCCCATAGGACGAACTACAGCAAATATTAAACGGCTTTAATATTTTATCGGAATTGGTAAAAATGCCATACATCGATTAACATCAATTTACAAAATTCACGGTTCAGTACTGACCAGTCTTTAATTCGGCGAGGTGTACGCTCTCAAGGAGCTCCCCTTTTCGACACAATACCAACTTTTATAGCTTAGTGATCTTCACTGCTCGTTACTCCCCACTAAGGCTCCTGGTAACTTGATTGCAAAAACAGCAGGCGAAACCATTTTAAAATGTCACGTTTTGTTTCAAGGAAAGTTTGTTTCTAATTGTAATACATGAACTACGAATTCAAGGGTTGACCTTAATTCAAATACGAGCGTACTATTTTCTACTGGAGAAAAAAACCGTTAATATGTAAGGTATTAGTAAACTGCGGATTACTTTTCATCGGGTTTGGCTACATGTTCTCTGTTTAAGAAAATGTTAAGCATCAGGGCAAGGCCCGGCTGTGTGAAACAAAGGCAGAACGGAGGAAATGCGCTGTGCTGCTCATCAAAACTTACCCGGACGGTAGAGACTGTAGCGTTTTGAAGTCTCGTTAAGAATTTGTCCCACCCTGCATCTCTTTCAACAGCCCATCTACTCTTACGAATACCAGGTGCACTACAAAAAACAGAAAGCCCCAAATTAAAGATCCACACACTTTCCTGGAATACACTACTCTGACAGCAGCAATGTCAAGTGGTTTAGAGATTAGCATCAAACTTCCGGATAACCCCTTCACAATAAAACAACTGCTAATGCATTACAGTGATTTTTTAATGTGGAAAAATATAAATGGCAAAAACACATAAAAATGTAGACATTACTACACGCAGCCCATTGTTCGGTAAAGTCTTCAATCATTAGCCCATTATCCAGCTGCTGCATGTAGGCTGCAAAGCTTCACTAAATTCAAACGTTAATCTGGGACCTAGGACGATATGCTCGTCTATTCCTTTTTTATTGGAGTGACTTAATTATTGCTATTGCTTTCAGCGGTTTACTGTCTATCTCTGGTGACTTGACAATTAAACGAGACAGCCGTGAAACATGTCACTCAGTCGCGGAACAGAAAGGAACTAGACAAATGCATTTTCTGAAGAAAATGTGTGTGGATGCTGATTGCTGAAGAATTGCCCTGAAAATGCTGAAATGGCTAGAATCCATTTCTGAAACAGCTGGAGGCTGAATAATTATGAAAGATGAAATGAAAAACTGAAGCTGTGAATTTAACTTCATTATCTGAAGAAGGTGAGAGCTTGAGAACATTCCGAAAACAGTTGAAGGCTTAATCCCAAAGTGATTACGTGATTATAGACCTGGGGGTCGTTTGATTTACCAACCAGAAGGAGTTATAGCCCTGTGAGGTTTTAGTGACATTTATGGTGGTGTTACAGGAAGTTAGAATTCCTATATTTCATCCCTTTCCTGATATGTGCAATTTGCCGAATAGTATTCTGCTCCGGGGGAACAGGTGGCTTTGCAACCGGGAACAAATCATGTACAGTCTTACATGTTTCATTGGTGGGTAGCTTCGGTGATTTTAAAGAGAGAGAGAACACATTTCAGGCCTCAAGGGGTGACGCCTTACTTGGCGTCAATCTAAATGGAGAGGCAGCTAAGAATGGTTTAGATGCAATACACATGCAATACAGTGGAAGACATTTGCCATCTTCCTCGGTGGGCATGAGGGTAGATGGGTTGGGAACAGTGCAATGCTCTATGGTCAACTGTGGCTGTGATAGGAGCACAGCCAAACATGAGAGGTGCATGGGTCCTAATGATCGACCATTCTGTGATAAACTCCTCACCCAAATATCTTACTTTAGGTTTTCAAAATCATATTTTATTTATATGTATGTATGTCCAGATACAAACTGACAAACTGATAATGGCCAACCAACCAGACATAGTACCAGTGGACAAACAGATGAAGAAGGCTGTAGTGATAGATGTAGCAATCCCAAGCGATAGCAACATCAGGAAGAAGGAACACGAGAAGCTTGAGAAATACCAAGGGCTGAAAGAAGAGCTAGAAAAGATGTGGAAGGGGAAGGCACAAGTGGTCCCCATAGTAACAGGAACATTGGGGGCTGTGACCCCCAAACTGGGAGAGTGGCTCCAACAGATCCCAGGAACAACATCTGAGATCTCTGTCCAGAAGAGTGCAGTGCTAGGAACAGCTAAGATACTGCGCAGGACCCTCAAGCTCCCAGGCCTCTGGTAGAGGACCTGAGCTTGAAGGAAGGAATACAAGACCACCCCAAAGTGGGGGGCGAGTGGGGAATTATTATATATACATGTATGTGTGTGTGTGTCTCCCGCTTGCTGGTTTCAGGGTTCACACGAGTAAAAAAGCCAGTCAGAGTAATTAACTTCACTGGGCTGCGTGCCTCCGAGTTCTGGAGTTGACGTACTCAGCGGGTCTTCAGGTGCACTGTATTCAAATACATTGTGAAGTGTATAATATATGAAAAGTGTTAAATACATAGTTTCAGTTTTACAGTTACTTGCCTTTCATGAAACAATAGTGGTGGCCACAAGACAGCTGGGGGAAATGAACTACATAAATATTGTGTGTGCATATACACAAACACACCTATGCAATGTAGAGCAGGTATTACAGGAGTAGAATAAGACAAGTGTGTCACAAATATGTGATAATTTTTTTTACAATGAAAATGAAATGTCTTCATTTGAAGAGCACACCTGTTTGTGTTTAGTATTTTCTACACAACATCTAACTGGTCTAGGCACTGGGCAGTGAACTATCTTCACATGTATGGCCTCCCTTGGTTGTTAACCTAAAAAAAAAAAATGAAAGGCTCCATCTCACATAGACATAGCAGAAAAACTCAATACTCATGTACTTAACTAAAAAGGTTTCTCCACTACAACAAAGGAATCTGTGTCAAAGACCAGTGTCCTCTAAACTTGTTGGGTGTTTAAAACAAGATGGTGCACAATTAACAATCATTGTTAAAATGAACATACTAAAGTAAATAATTAATAATTAATGTTTGTATACTACAACTATAAAAGGCTAACTGTATTCAAACTGTAGTTATTTACAAGATATCATGTAAAGTTTGACTGAGGTGAAATACTGTGCGACCGTTTCTCCACATCTGGCCTAGATTCAAACACACTGCTCTGTATTTTCTGTATTAATTTCCATGATTATGAGAAAAAATAGCGCTGTTACTCAGTGGACTTCCATCTTCGAATAAATACAACACTGAAATACACAGAAGAAGTACTGGTTTAAACAGTTGATTTTCATACCTGTCCATGATGCTCAGCATCTGTAAAAGTCATCCTGAGTACATGACATGGATGGCGAGCATCTCTTCATTGCAACCCAGATAGACGCTCCAGGGGGAACTAAACCACAAACAGGCATCAACATGCAAATGTAAATCACATATGTACAGAATTACTACAATGAGCTGACTTCATTAACAGGGATCAAAGGACAAAATGGACCCAAAGAATTATTCACTGGATCATTCAAACTCTAGTGTACAACTGCCCACTGACTTCGGTAGAAAATACAGCTGTGCCACTAATATAATAATCTAGATATACAATTATTTACATGGGATTTGAGCGTTACATATTTGCTCTGTTCTGGACATAAACATCTATTTTAACTATATTCCATATAAATAAACTGGTTCCAGAGCACAGTCAGAATTTTATCCATCACAGTACATTTCTGCTGCCTGAAGGGCCAGAGGTTGTGGTCTGTGTCTCACTGGACAGGGCAGAGTTATCAGTTCAGGAACACCTGTTTAATCCCATAATAGGAAAACATTAAAAATAATGTTTTATTGTTTGTGTATTAGTGACAAAAATCTGATTTTTAAATATATTAGTAAAAGCTGTACATAGCGCAGTTGTGTACATTTTTCTTTGCTTTTATCTACTGCACTCTATTTACATTGCACTTTTTTGTATGCAGACTCAGAGATATGGACAGCAAATTCCACAACAGATTTGTGTTATTGCTCATCTGCCTTATGTTTCACTTGTATTGTGTGGCATTCATGTGGACAGCAAAGTTAGAATTTCATTGTACAGGGAAACACTTTGACCTCCTATGTACCTGTACTGTCTGTTTGTGTAAATGGTAAATAAATCTCTTGAACTTCATCAAAAATATGAAGTAAACCTATGTAGCAATATTTCTTTCTTGCTACACATAACAAAGTGAAAATTTGTGAGATGGCTGCATTTTTTTTTACTTGTTTTCACTGAATTATCTATTAGTCTAGCTATAAGCTATTTCCAGTACTCAGGTTGTTCCTAGTTGTTACATTTTTTAAATAACTTTTTGTGACTTGTGAAGCTAACTGGGCCAACACATCACAATGAAAACAAAGTATTACTGTAACTAATGTACCTCTCCATTCACTTTAAGGTCACAACAAAACCCAACAAACTTAAGAACATGTAGCATTTAATGAGGACACTGTCACAGTTCCACTGACGAGTTAGAGCAAAGAAACACTCTGGCAATAAATGGTTTACGAGTGAAATCTGTCCCAGGCAATCTATCAAACATGTATATTGCTCCATCCTTGTGCTATGACACCGATGTGCTGACTAAAGTCCCTTCTAAGATTCATTCAGGTCCTCCTTATATAAGCATAATATTATGCTATGAAAATTTACAGTCAACATAAATGGTGCACCATTTTGCGGTATCTCCTCACAGAAGATGAGCTGCTGTGCCAAAGGATGTGGATGTTCTCCTTTAGTTCCTGGTTTAGTGCTATAAAAAGTAGATAGCTTGGACTTTCCTAAACAAACAAATTTTAAATTTGCACCCAAAAGCAGACGGGGTGATTTATGAGCTGTGGGTAAATGTACAATGTGTACAATTTTAAAAGAAGGAAGTGTAGTGATGATAGGGTCTGACCACAAAAAGGGACTGCTCGGTTTGATGCAAGGCATCTCCCTGCTAGCCCACACTGGATATTAACTACGCCTTAACAGGGAATCAAACCCCGACCTAGCGTACCAAATACAGTGGTGTTAACCACGAGCTATCCAGCTGCTGGATAAGCAAACATTTAGAATATTTTCTGGTTTCAGTTTCTCACATCGTCACATGAGGCTGAGATCGCACAGGGATCTAAATCACACTCATAAAACAACTTATCGTGCAGCCCTAATATTTCAGCAGACTTCTTACAGTGGTGGGTCTGTACAGTTTCTGTATTAATCTGTATTCCACTGACGAGTTAGAGCAAAGAAACACTCTGGCAATAAATGGTTTACGAGTGAAATCTGTCCCAGGCAATCTATCAAACATGTATATTGCTCCATCCTTAATGTGAATGAGCAGCACACAAAATGAACACTTCAAAACAGTCACCCACTGCAAAGGGTGCAAAAATATTTATTGCTAATAAACCTGTAGTCAGTTGATGTATATTTGCTTTATATTTACAATAATAGAGTACAGAGGAATGGGAATGTGAAAGAAAAATCCCAGTCATTTAAATAAATACAAGGGGACTTCCACTGAACAAGACTACAAACATAAACCCACTTCATTAACTCCTATACAACTGGACCAATGATTGCAGTGAGAAGAACAAACTATATAAATGTTCATATATATATATAATAGTCAGTGAATCCCATCCATATGCATTCAGCTGTCACTTTTCCACAGGTATCTCAGATTAATCCAAGGATTACGGAGAACATCTATGATGTTTAGGGTAAGGCAATGAAGCAACACCGTGGGTACTTGATTTCTAATGCAGACGAGCATTTCAGTTCAATAGCTTGTTTATTGAGCAACACTTCCATCTGTGCTGGAACGGTAACAGAGTGACTGAGTGTTAACGTGCAGATCTGAACATCAGACTCATTCCTATGGTTTTGTTATGCAAGTATTAATCACTCATCAATGTTTAGCTGTAACATCTGATTTATGCCTTTGGCTAGCAACAGTTTAGGAAGTTAAAACAGTAGCTTACACAGTCATAGTTTTAGTGTATGTATGACAGATACTCAATTAAAACTATTTACAGTAAAACACGGCAGCAAAAAAAGAATACAAAAATGTCACAGTTAACTGAAGTGCAGGGAATGCAAACTCTAGACATGAAATTCAAACTTCATACCATGTGTTTGTGACCAGTGTGTAGTGTTCCTAAATAAGTAATTACAGAGCTAAAATATAGTGGACTTCTAAACATGCAGCAAGTTAGGTCGACACGATGTGTCGCTGTCAGAACTCCTTAGTGTCTTTGTTGTCAAACAGGTGGAGTCTCTGCTCAGCTGTCAGCCCTTCCTTTAGGCTCTGCAGGGGCGAAGAGAGAAAAAGGCAGATGTTAATAATGACCACGGGATTCTGGACAGATGTACTGTACTGAGCAGGCAGTGTTTCTCTTGTCAGTGTTAATCTGTTTTCACCCAGAAATTAAATCTCTACAATAGAATCATGAGAGCCCACAAAGCAAATTATATTTAACTGCACAAACTATCACCCTGTGTAGTATTGAGCCCCAGAGCCAACAACAGGTAGTCAAAGGTTTACCAGATGAGTCAAAAATATACTGTAACTATCAGATGATACTGTTTAATAACTATGGATTGTATAAGATGTAGAAATGGAAAATCAGTATTTTGTGTTTGTCGTCTTGTTTTTTAGTTACATATTTGACTGATTTGATAATCTTGCTCTACCTTTTAATGGTTTGGGGGCTCTGTAGTGTTGCACCGAGTCTGTGAGTAGCTAATTCACAAAACATTCAACACAGATTAGTAAGTATTTAAAGCCCAGTGATATGTCAGCCACACTGTCACTCAGCCCGGGCTGCTGTCATTCGTTCTTCAGCGACATGCATCTGTACAGTGGGATAACTGTGTATAGTATTGTGAAGTTGTGACTCAGACCTATTGAGTGCTTTAGAGATAGAGGACAAGAGGATATGCTGAAACCACCCATGGGTGCATCCAGTTTAGTTTACCTAAAGGAGAAGGGGGAGGAGGCCTACACGTCCTCAGCAGCCCTAACTGTCCCAGGATGTGTCACGACTCACAGACTGAGGACAGAAGGGGGAAAGCACACCGGTGTGTGCGTGTTAGACTACTACAGCGTTTCATTTTGCGACACAATCCCAAGACTGCAGTTTTATTGGAGTCACAAACTTGATAAATAAAATGCAGCCCAGCAGGAACACTGCCAATAATGATGCAACAGTAGGCATGCAATACTGCATGCAAGCTGTAGATGGCAGCAAGTCACTTGAAACAGCCTCCAAGCCTTTGTCTAGGGGGAAACCTCTAAATTCAAAATAGGACTGCTCTGTCACACAATGGTGGGTGATACAGTTCCATAGGAAATCCTGAATAAACACCACAAAGGGATGAATTGATTTTTACACTTAACAGGAAACCCACCTTTGACCTCATGGTGCGCTCAGAGCGTTTAGCAGCAGCAGCTGCCATCTTCAGGATGTCAGGGTTGCTTTTGGACTTCATGATATCTAGGAGGGAACATATATCAGAGTCAAAATAAACGTGGAAAACAGAGGGACGGTCGAGTCCCCAGGTGTAGTGAATACTAATTCAGTTGACCTACAATGGGCCTCATGTAAGAACCACTTGTATGAACAGATCCGTTCTTAAATGTCGTGAGTGATTTTTAAGAGATTGTCATATTCAGCAATATTCTCAAGTGGTCCACACCTGTCAGAGCATGTAGAGAAAGTCTACCTTTCACCACAGAGGGAAAAAGCAGCTTTAACATCACTTGCTGACTTACATTTTCAAATCAATCTAGTTACCCATTTTCTTCCCCCAGTATCCTCCCAATTAAATCATGAACCATTTTTCTTTAGAAAGACATTTCTGAGCTAACTTCATGACAAACCATTTCTTTTTTATTTCTGACATGAAGCTGCATGGTATAAAATGTCTTCTTTTATCTCTGATACTTCTGTGAATGAAATCTGCCCTGACATGGAGTGGAACACATATCCTCTGACTGATGCCAACAATCAGACCTAATGAACCTCCTCACAAGCATAAGTCCAAACAAGCCATTTAGAGCGTTGGAACATGAACATGCCTCGCAGAAAAAAATGTCAAGTTTATAATAAAAATCCGGAAATGTTCTTGCATGAAGCCCAGTGTTTTGTTTTGTTTTTTTGTACCGTATCCCCCTCGTTCCACCCCCTCCAGTGACGGCTCCCCGAGTGCCTCGTGAGCCAGTTGCAGCTGGTCTCTGAGGAGGCCCAAGTCCCGCTCTGCTTTGGCCTTGACGATGCTCAGCTCTGTATAAATGTCCTTGTACTTATCTGTTGCATATTTCTTGTCCTAAAAACACATTGTTAGGCAGCTCATATAAAAAGGTATTCATGTTCTCATTCAGCTAGGAATTCAAAGATGTCCCCATGTATAAAGAGGCTTCAAGGTGAAGGGGGAGCGCAATATACATATATATATATATATACAAACCCGATTCCAAAAAAGTTGGGACACTGTACAAAATGTGAATAAAAACAGAATGCAATGATGTGGAAGTTTCAAATTTTAATATTTTATTCAGAATAGAATATAGATAACATATCAAATGTTGAAAGTGAGACATTTTGAAATGTCATGCCAAATATTGGCTCATCTTGGATTTCATGGGAGCTACACATTCCAAAAACGTTGGGACAGGTAGCAATAAGA